TGTTGAGCTTCAAGTTCTTGAGAGTTTTAAATTTGTCTAGATCAGGAATCAAGGAGTTGTCAGCCTCAATCGGGAAGCTAATATACTTGAGATATCTAGATATCTCGAGCACTGAGATCACAGCCTTACCCGACTCCATTTGCAAGCTCTATAATTTGCAAACATTTAGAGTCAATTACTGCTATTCACTCAAGGAATTTCCATATGAGATGGGAAATATGATAAGTTTGAGACACATATATTTCTATTCTTCGTCTCAGATGCCACTTAACCTGGGACAATTGACTTGTCTTCAGACCCTACAATATTTCAATGTGGGTTTGGAGAAAGGTCATCGAATAGAAGAATTAGGTCATTTGAAGAACCTTAGAAGTGAATTGAGTATCAATGAGCTGGAATTGGTCCGTAGTAGAGAAGAAGCTCTAACAGCATATTTACAAGAGAAATCGAATATTTACAAGCTGACATATGTATGGTCCCATCAGGAATCAGAAGGATGTGAGATCAATGCTGAGCATGTGTTGGATGGTCTTCAACCACATCCTAACTTGAAAACATTTGAAGTGGTGAGATATTTGGGTACTAGATTTCCTTCATGGTTCAATGAAGAGTCGCTACCAAATTTGGTCAAGTTGAAATTAAGTAATTGCAGAAATTGCAAAGAAATTCCATCTCTTGGCCAACTGAAATTCCTTCGGCATCTTGAACTGGTAGGGTTCCATAAGCTGGAATGCATTGGAACTACATTTTATGGTATTGAGGTTAACAATATGGGATCAAGCAGCAATAATGCCATTATCCAAGTGTTCCCATCATTAAAAGAACTAGTATTGGAGAATATGTGTAGCCTTATTGAGTGGAAGGGAGTGGAATCGATACCAGCAACAAGTGGGGTAAGAATGTTTCCTGGGCTTGAGAAGTTTAGGATTAGCTACTGTCCATTGTTAAAAAGTACTCCGAAGCAATTTGAATTCCTATGCGAATTGAGCATTAAAGTAGTTGACAGTGAAATGCCACTATTGAATTTGTGCTGCAACTTGACATCGCTCGTAAAGCTTAGTGTCTCTTTTGTGGAAGTGGTCACTTGTTTTCCAGATGAGATGCTACGCAACAACGTTTCTCTTCAACACTTATCGGTCTCAAACTGCAGAGAGTTTTAGTGAATTGCCACAGAGCTTGTACAATCTGCATTCTCTTAAGAGCTTAGTCATTCAGTGCTGCACCAATTTCAGTTCCTTTCCTGTTCCCAGTGGAGAGAATCATTTGACTTCCCTACAAAATCTTCAGCTATGGAGTTGTGGTGGATTGGCCAGTTTACCAAGTGGAATGCTAGAGAAATGCCGGTCTCTACAGAATTTAAGGGTCAACTATTGTAACAACTTAGTTTCCTTCCCTTTACATGCGGGGGATATGCCTTCACTTTCCTATTTGTCTATAGCACACTGTCCCAAATTGGATAGTGTACCCACAGGGGGCCTTCACCATCTCACCAGGTTAAGGGAATTGGAAATTGGTCCTGTCTCAGATATGGTGGATTTTGAGGCATTCCAATTGACTTTTAATGGCATTCAGCAGCTGTTGTCCCTTCGTACTCTGCTTGTGTTTGGACATTTACACTGGGATTCTCTGCCCTATCAGCTTATGCAACTCTCTGCCCTAACGCATATCCATATATGTGATTTCGAAATCGAGGCTCTTCCTCATAGACTTGACAACCTTACTTCTCTTGAAATATTACATTTAGTGAGGTGCAAACGGCTGCAACATGTGGACTTCTCCGATGCCATGCCCAAATTACGGTATCTAAGAATCTGCGATTGTCCATTGTTAGAAGCTCTGTCAGATGCTTTTTGCAACCTTGTTTCTTTGGAAGAATTAAGATTAGAGAACTGCGAAAAACTAGAGCACCTGCCATCCAGAGAAGCAATGCGACGCCTCACTAAATTATGGTACCTAAAAATTAAAGGCAGCCCAAAGTTAGAAGAAAGTTGCAACAATCGGAGTGGCCCAAGCACCCAGTGGTCCAACATTTCCCATATTCCAAAAGTTAAAGTAGGTGGAAGCATAATTCAGGACTTGCATAAGTCACATTTTTAATTTTTATTTTCTACGAATTCTAGAAAAGAAGTTCTGTATGAATATATCTCAAATAATTCAAACGTTTCGTTTGTTTTGCACGTTTATCCTTCAATAAAGAGTTTATCACTTAATCCTCGAATGTAGTACTCTTCATTACATAGTATAATGGAAGTTATTAAGTGGTATGGTTCTTGAATAAGATAACTGTTCATTCTCTTCAAGTATAGACAAGTATTTTACTGGCATAACAGTAGCTTGCCATATCTGGTATATTACAGTTTCTTTTTGCGCAAGAGGAGGTGAAATGTGTAGAGGAAAAAGCTGACCGAAACTTGACTTCTATTCAATTTGCATCAGTGGTGCTTTTGGAGACTCTGATTGTATGTCATTTGAGATTTTAAAGTAAGTTAGTTCTAAATCTTAGTAAATTGAAAAGTCTCAAGTAACAATACCAAGTCTCATATATAGTAGAGGTGTATATAACTTTCTTACTAGTCACACTTCTCGTTACTTGAACAAAAAGGAAATTTCGAAGGACTGCTATGTCTTGAATCTTACAGCAAAGAGTGCCCCATTGACTCTTAAAATTTCAAAAGATAACTAGGCTTGTCTCAATATTAATTATAAGCAATTTGTGTTCTTGTATGCAAGTTTTAGAGTTCAATAAGAATGTGAACTTACTTTGATTATTTGCTGGTATATCCTGTTTGGCATGTGATTGAACTCTGGATATAGTCTTTCCTGTCTTGTGGATATCAATAAATCTTCAAGATTTGTTTCCTCAAATTCTCACCGATGGAGTGGCTGCAGCCTCCAGTTCCATCATGTCCCATTTGGGAAGTAGCTGGTGGTGCCATTTATTATTATTGGGATATATTGCACAGATATTTGATGGCATTGAAATGCTGATACCATTCTTACTAAGAAGGCAAATGGAACGACGGCTTGTTGTTTCGATCCCAATGCTCATAATTTGAGTTCAATTGTATCGTAAGGGTACATCTAGAGCTTGGACCCATTAGATAATGAAGTTTGGATAAACATCATTGTGCAAGAAAATGAACAAGAGGCTGATCTGTAGCTCTAACCAAATTCACTTAACATTATTAATTGAGATAATTACATCCTAAGGATGTTTAGTTTGGAGATTTTAGCCTAGTTTCTATTTTCTTGCCTTGTTTAACCCAATTCAACATGTTAGCAGATGCTTTTTTGATAACCTGCTCCACCACTCCCCCTCCCCCCACCCCCCACCCCCCCTTTTTTTTGTTTCCATCCCATTTTGAAGTTCGACTATTCCGAATTAACCTCGCATAGGGTCCCATTCCAGGGGAAGCACTCGTACCAAAGACTTTTCCGTATCTAAAGCTTGAACCCGTGACTTGGTTACATAAATCGATGTCAGCAGCCAGGAGTACTTTTAAACCATTAAACAATTGGTTTGAGTTGTTAAGCTTTTTGCTGGGTTTTGTCTCTATGCTGGAAGGAATGAGATAAATCCATTAATTTTTCCACAAAGTGGAGGAGAATAGATAATTGTACAACTCATTTTGGACCTTGTTTTATTTCATATAAATTTTTTAAATAAATCTACTTGTACAAATAAAATAAAACCACTTGGACAAATAAAACAAAAAACTACTTAAATAAATGAATATAAGAGGAAAAAGGAGCACAAACTTGGCCTTCATTCACATGTATTTAGCCGCCTTTTTTTTTTTTTTAATTCTTTTTTACTGTTTGAATGAATTATTGTCTGTCTTCCTTTTAGTGCTCTGCAAAAAGACAACTTATTACTTTGACAAGACTTTGATTTTGTGAAGAAGCAAACACAACAATGGCCGATCCTGTAATTGGTGCTACTGTTCAAGTTTTGCTTGAAAAGTTGATTTCTCTCACTATCGAGGAGGTCAACAGCTCAAGGGATTTCAACAAAGATCTCGAAATGTTGACACAAAATGTATCCTTAATCCAAGCTTTCATTCATGATGTTGAAAGACCACAAGTTGACAAACAACAGTCTGTCGAACAATGGCTCAATAGGCTTGAGAGAGTTGCTGAAGATGCTGAAAATGTGTTTGATCGATTCAGATATGAATCTCTCAAAACAAACGTGATGAGCATCCGAAACAGCCCAATAAAAAAGGTCAGTGGTTTCTTTACTCATACTGCTTTTAAGAGCAAAATGTCTCGAAAAATCAACAGTATTAATAAAGAGTTGACCGCTATTAACAAGGTAGCCAAGGACCTTGGTCTCCACTCACTCATAGTTCCTTCTCGGAAAATACTACCGATTCGAGAAACAGATTCCTTAGTAGTTGCTTCAGATGTTGTTGGTAGAGATTTGGATATTGTTGAGATAAAGGAGAAGATTTTGAAGATGAGAGAGGAGGATGTTGTTCTATCCACCATTCCCATAGTGGGTATGGGGGGTTTAGGGATAACAACTGTGGCTAAGAGGATTTACAATGATGAACACATCAAGCTAATCTTTGAAAAGAGAATTTGGCTGTGTCTACCTGAAATGTCTGAAACAAAGAGCTTTCTTGAACAAATCCTCGAATCGTTGACAGAGAGGAAAATTGAGGTTCAAAGGAGAGATATAATAGTCAAGAAGTTACAAGATGAATTGGGAGGAAAAAACTATTTGCTAGTCCTGGATGATTTGTGGTGTGTTGACTCTATATCGTGGCATGAGTTCGTTGACACCTTGAGAGGAATAAATACATCCAGAGGAAACTGCATTCTTGTGACTACTCGTATGAAGCGGGTGGCATCCACAGTAGCAACAGATCTTCATATCTTGGGAAAGTTAACAGAAGATCATTGTTGGTCTATTTTCAAACAAAAAGCATTTGTTGATGGCAGGGTTCCAGAAGAATTAGCGAGCATGGGCAACAGGATTGTTGTAATGTGTCAAGGTCTACCGTTGGCTGCAAGTGTGTTGGGAGGCCTCTTACACAACAAGGAAAAACATGAATGGCAAGCAATTCTTGATGGCAACCCCCTTGTTGCAGGTGAAGATGATAAGGGAGAAAATAGCATAAAGAAAATCCTAAAACTCAGCTATGTTTATCTACCATCTGTACAACTGAAAAAATGCTTTGCTTACTTTGCAATGTTTCCAAAAGATTCCGAGTTTGAGAAGGAACAACTTATCCAACTCTGGATGGCAGAAGGCTTTCTCCATCCATGTCAAGAGACCACTGTGATGGAAGATGTTGGGCACAGGTTTTTTCAAATCTTGTTGCAAAATTCCTTGCTGCAAGATATTAAGGTAGATGAGCTCAGCAATATAACACATTGTAAGGTGCACGATCTTGTGCATGATTTGGCTGGAGATATCTTAAAATCTAAACTATTTGATCCAAAGGGTGACGATGGAGAAAAACTTTCTCAAGTTCGATACTTTGGATGTGAGTCACCAAGGAATCAAATAGATAAGATATATGAGCCACAACGTTTGTGCACACTGTTTTGGAGAAGCAATTCTATATCGGAAGATATGCTGTTGAGCTTTAAGTTCTTGAGAGCTTTAAATTTATCCAGTTCAGGAATCAAGGAGTTGTCGGCCAAAATTGGGAAGCTGATATACTTGAGATATCTTGATCTCTCCAACACTAAGATCACAGCTTTGCCCAACTCCATTTGCAAGCTCTATAATTTGCAAACATTTAGAGTCATTAACTGCCATTCACTTAAAGAACTTCCATATGAGATGGGAAATATGATAAGTTTGAGACACATATATTACACTTCTGCTGATGAAACAAATGGGCATTGGGGAGAATGGTGTATTCGCAATGAACATTTTCAGATGCCACTTAAGATGCGTCAATTGACTTGTCTTCAAACCCTCCAGTTTTTCAAGGTAGGTGTAGCGAAAGGTCGTCAAATAGAAGAATTAGGTCATTTGAAAAACCTAAGAGGTGAATTGACGATCAATGGTCTACAATTGGTCGGTGATAGAGAAGAAGCTCGAACAGCAAATTTACAAGAGAAATCAAATATCTACAAGCTGGCATTTGTGTGGTCCCATGACGAAGAAGAAGGAAGTGAGACCAATGATGAGTATGTGTTGGATGGTCTTCAACCGCATCCTAACTTGAAAACCTTAGCAGTAGTGGACTATTTAGGGACTAAATTTCCTTCATGGTTCCGTGAAGATTTGCTACCAAATTTGGTCAAGTTGAAATTAAGCGGTTGCAAAAGATGCAAAGAAATTCCATCGCTTGGCCAACTGAAATTGCTTCGGCATCTTGAGCTGTCAAAGTTACATAAGGTGGAATGCATAGGACCTAAATTTTATGGTAAAAATATTGGATCAAACAGCAATATCCAAGTGTTCCCGTCACTGAAAGAACTAGTATTGAGGTCTATGTCTAGCCTTATTGAGTGGAAGGGGGATGAAGGTGGAGTAAGAATGTTTCCTAGGCTTGAGAAGTTGACGATTACAGAGTGTCCATTGTTAAAAAGTACTCCAAGTCAATTTGAAATCCTCCGTGAATTAGAGATTGTCATAGTTGACAGTGAAATGCCATTGTTGAACTTGTGCAGCAACTTGACATCTCTCGTAGAGCTTAGAGTCTCTGATATGAAAGAGCTCACTTGTCTTCCAGATGAGATTCTGCGCAACAATGTTTCTCTTCAACACCTATCGGTCTTCGACTGTGAAGAGTTTCGTGAATTGCCACAAAGCTTGTACAATCTCCATTCTCTTAAGACCTTAAGGATATCCAACTGCGCCAATTTCAGTTCCTTTCCTGTTCCCAGTGGAGAGAATTATTTGACTTCCCTCCAAAGTCTTCAGTTGTTCGATTGTGATGGATTGACCAGTTTACCAAGTGGAGTGCTAGAGCATTGTCGGTCTCTGGAATCTTTGGTGGTCATCTCCTGTAACAACTTACTCTCTTTGCCTTTACACGTGTGGGAAATGCCTTCACTTTCATATTTGTGTTTATCAGGCTGTCCCAAATTGATTAGTGTACCCTCAGGGGGCCTTCACCGTCTCACTGGGTTAAGGGCATTGGATATTGGTCCTTTCTCAGAGATGGTGGATTTTGAGGCATTTCAATTGATTTTTAATGGAATTCAGCAGCTGTTATCCCTTCATAATGTGGGGGTGACCGGACGTGGGCACTGGGATTCTCTGCCCTATCAGCTTATGCAACTCTCTTCCCTAACACATATCCATATATGTGATTTCGGAATCGAGGCTCTTCCTCATAGATTTAGCAACCTTACTTCTCTTGAAAGTTTAATGCTAGCGAGGTGCCAACAGCTACAATGTGTGGACTTCTCAGATGTCATGCCCAAATTACGGTATCTGGAAATCCATAATTGTCCATTGTTAGAAGCTCTGTCGGATGGACTCAGCAACCTTGTTTCTTTGGAAGAGTTAACTTTACGGAACTGCGAAAAACTAGAGCATCTGCCATCCCAAGATGCCATGCGACACCTCACGAAATTACAGAGCCTGAAAATTAAAGGCTGCCCAAAGTTAGAAGAAAGTTGCAACAATCGGAGTGGCCCAAACTCCCAGTGGTCCAACATTTCCCATATTCCTAAAGTTAAAGTTGGTCGAAGCATAATTCAGGACTTGCGTAAGTCTCTGTTTCTCTTCCGTGTCTGAGTCACATTTTTAATTATTATTTTCTATCAGTTCTAGAACGAAGTTCTGTATATAATTGAATACTATCTCCTGCAATTATTTTGACTAAAAAAAATGCAAAATTATTAGTCAATTGCATCTTATCTATGCTTTCAGCATTCTGCTAGTCCACTTGAACCAAATTGTTGTTGTTTTTATAATTCTTCAAGTAAGGTATATCTATATCAATTTTAAGATGTGATTTATTCATGAAAATTTATGTTTTTTTTTCCTTAAAGGTTACTAGTTTCAAGGTCATACTTGAACATCACTGTGGTAAATCAAGTCAAAATCCATGAATGGCAGGCAATTACGTTAGGTAAATTTTCATTTAGACTTGTTAGAGGAATGCGTTTTTTTGCACTACTTTTTTCTCATGACACAATTTTTATTGTTTAAACAGGGTTGGTTATGTTCCACCACCACATTTGTTTGGTTGAAGAACAGAATCTTCGGCCGTAGACATTACGGGTACACTTTCATGAATATTTAGTAACGATAACATAATCTGTCAACGTTTTGCTCTTCATAATGGGGGATACCAACAATTATTAAGTGAAACTATTTGTTTGTTTTTAAAACATGTGCAACAAAAAGTTTTAAAGTGATGTCTCTCTATACTTTTATCAAGCATAGGAAGTCGACTATTCTGAATTTGTGTCGTGTAGGGTCCAATTCGAGGTAAAGCACTCCCCACCAAAGGTTTTTCAAGTTCAACTAAGCGTAGTTTCCCCATTTCTTTGATGCAGCTGTTGTCCCTTCGTGTTCTGGTGGTGTTTGGACGTTTGCTCTGGGATTCTCTGCCCTCGCCAAATACTGAACCTGGAAATTGAAGGCTGCCCAAAGTTAGAAGAAAGTTGCACCAATCGGAGTAGCCCAAACTCCTAGTGGTCCAACCAACATTTCTCATATTCCAAAAATTGAAGTTGTTGGAAGCTTAATTCCTATGTAAGTCTCTGTTTCTCTTTCAGTTTCTGAGTAACATTTTAAATTATTATTTTCCATGAGTAACTCTCCTCCATTCTCCTTTTATAGTTTTCCAAACATTTTTCTATTCCAATTGAAACAAATTTATGAATATCTATATTACTTTTAAGATATGGTTTAATCATGAATATTTATGTATTTTTTTATCATTGGTTATTAGTTCCAAGGTCATACTAGAACATTGTTGTGGCATTTCAAGTGAAAATCCATGGGCGGCAATTACGTCAGGTGAACTTTCAATTAGAATTCTTTTACCAAGTTTGCACAAAGCTGGAAAATTCAAGGAATTCGTGATCTTCAGATGTAGCTGCACTTTCATGGAAGGGGATATTGATATTTTTGTGAGGTTCTAAACGTCACAAAAATTATTGGCATAATACATAATCATGACCCTTAACTTCTCTTCACCGAACAACTATTACCTCTAACTTTAAGTGTGAACAAGTAGACACTTAAACTTATATAAAATTGAACAAGGAGACACATGTGTCCTACATGTCATAATACACGTAGGACAAAAAATTGTCATGTAGGGTGTCAGGTGGGATGAATGTGTCTATTTGTTCAATTTTATTCAAATTTAAGTTCATACTTGTGCAAACACAAAGTTAGTTAAGGTCATAGCTGACAATTGACGCCAAGTTAAGGGTAATGTTTATGTATTATGCCAAAATTATTCTCTGGTTTTGGCTGATGAAGTCGAGTAAGACAGGAACTCCTTAGCTACCACTTTCCTTTTTCATTTCTAGAGTTTCTTTAACCTTTGATTTTCTTTAATTTTTGCTCTTTTCTTTTGCTTTGTTGTTTACTGATTGGACCGGATTGTTATGACTTGGGCTAACCTTTGATGTACATAGTTGAAAACTTGCATAAATATATTAAAGAAAATATTTATCATTTATAGCCATAACATTTTTTTTCACTCGATCACTTTAATATATTTATTATACAGTTTTAATACATGTAACAGAGAACAATTTATAAAACACATAATACAAGTTTTATTGATGGATAATACATTTATTACACATTTTAATACACTTATAATACAATGTGCCAATTTCTTAAAAAAAAAATGGAATATATTTTCAAACAGTTATAATACATATATATTGCATACATAATTTACTTTTAATACATATAGCAAATTTATCACAATATTGTTATATATTGCTATAAATGTTAATAAATAAAAGTAGGGAAAATTGTATGAAATAGCAAACTATTAATTCAAATTAAATGTCATAGCCATAATTTATTTTATTTGTAATTCGCAACAAACATCCTTTTTTTTTTTTTGCCATCCCATTTGTATACCGAAATATACAAATGCAGGACTCATTTGTATACCGAAATATACAAATGCAGAACCCATTTGTA